AATTTCAAAATCGTCCCTCTGAAACAAAATTTTAAATTATTAATCACTTTGTGTTTAGTTATAACAATATAATGAAAAATCATACTTACAGTACTGTTATAATTCATAGTGTGTTTTTTAATAGCTGAGGTATCAGTCCAAGTAACAAAATCTTCCAAGTTCCTGCAAAAATAAACATCATTAACTTCATGCTAAGCGTATTGCAATTAAATTTTTTTCTCAGGTTATTTAACAAAATGAACGTATTACCTTGTCACTAGAAATGCTGGATCTTTGATTACTTCAGGTCCTACTCGAACATGACCCTGCTCTATTAACTGTGTTGCCATTTTAATGTTTTCACTCATTTTGCATCGTACCATGATAACAGGCAACCTTCTTCTGCAGAATGAACTGGCTGTTACTTTTTGACATAGTGACAAATCCCACTTTGTCGGAATCAACCGATTTTTGCACCAAATGGGACATTATCTCGGAGGTAGCATCTCTCGTACGGCGCTGTGTACTCCGTCGGTGGTGAAAATCACTCCGAGGCTGCTGATGCAGTATATACAAGCACAGAGAGGAGCTCCATCAACTTGCAGACACGGTCTTTGTGCGCCACCGATGAATCAACGAAGCCTTTCGTGGGCGAGTCCGGCTCTCGCGTTGTTGGGGGGGGGGGAGGGGGAATAAATATATACACCATGCATCGTTATCATTATTATTTCAAGGTGCATCGACATCGTCGGCGACGAATACCTCCGGCGATCCCGGAATTCTGGGAATCTCTGCCCCGTCTACCGATCTAATCGGCCGCGATGCGTTCGTTCCTCTCCATCAGTCCGGACACTCTCCCTCTCTTCTTTGTTTGCCTTTTTTTTTTCTCTCCGACTGACATCGGCTCTCTCGGGACGAACGGGGTTCCACTTACTATACAGATAGAGCCCCCCCCCTCCCCTGCTCATTAATAATCTCGGCCCGATGCGCTCGGGACTTTGCTTTCTCGGAATCTCTGGTACACCCATGCTCGCGGAGCCACGATTTTTTCTCAACTGTTTCACAGTCCTGATGATTACTTGACGAGACTCTCCTCCTCGGGATCTAATTGATTTCAATTGGCGCTCCTTCCCGCACCAGAGTAATCGGTCGGGGGTTCCAAAGACGAGTTATAAATTGGGCAGAAGCAGAAGAGGATATGCATTCCTCGGTCGACTGTGTACGTGGAAATGCTTTGTACGTACAGGTACATCATCTTGCTCTTTTTTCTCTTTTTTAACGCGAGTGAGCATATAAGCATTTGCAACAAAAAAAAAAAAAAAAAAAACGGAGCTGCGTTATGACTCCCCCCGCTGAATAATTTAAAGTATACAATACTTGTATATACGTAGGTGAACATATTTCATATTTGAATGCGAGTGACTTTGGGATTCGAGGTGACCTTGCCGCGAAAAAGACAATGCCGTGTTCATGTTTAATAAAAATCAGCCTCCTATACTCGGGTATAAATAAGAAATCGGTCCGCAGAAGGAGCACCTTTGGAAATACGCAATATTTATTTATTTTTTTTTTTCAAACGGAAACTCCAAAGATGTACTTAGAATCACCCGTGCGCTCGCTGCTGCCTGCTGCTATTAAAGGTACACGTATGCATCGAAAGGCTTTTACGAGAGCAGTGGTAGATACACTCACGGGTGCCTAATAATAATCTCAACAACAATAATAACGACGTTGCATGACACGAGTTGTCTACAACACGGCATTGCACACGCAGGGCTTGCTCAATGCAGGGTGCACCTGTACGTTGTATTATAAAACGCGATGCTGCGTGTCTGACGTGTTCAATATATACTCATAAATGTGTGCCTGTGTATATATATATATATATATATATAGAGGTAAAAAGGAGCCAATTCCTCAAGGTTCCTAATTGCTCTCGAGCTAATTCCCGGTGTGCGCGTACGTGCGTCGAGTAGCGACTTGTACATGCGCGCTCTTTGTCCGAAAATTACTCCCAATGATGATGACGAAAACATTTTCAGCCGAGACACACTCTGTGTATCGCCGCGCGCTTGATTGGGCATAATGTACCTTCGATGGGTGTATGAATGGAGCGAGCCTCGCGGTAATCAAGCGAGCGACTATACTCGTTTAGGCACGCGAGCTACCTGCTTGCATGCGGTTGTCGTTGCACTCGGCAGAACTCTCGGTGAAAAGCAGCAGGCGCTCTGTCAGCGAGGGAAAATCGGAAGGAAAGGATAATCGCGTGGCTGGTTATTAGCCTCGATTCGATGACATTTTCTCGTACTTGCGACGACTCCCCCTCCGGGTGCATGTACGTCAACGAAACCATACACCTGTACTCCTTCGATGGTGCCAGGATATACATACATATACGCACACACTTGCGTTATTGTTGCGCAAAACTTGTTTTTACAACCAGTGTTGTACGGCGCAAAGAGAAAACAAGACGAGAGAGAGAGAAAAAAAAATAATTGCCATCTCGTGGGCTTCTGTTGGTTTTACGGTTTAGCGGAGAAATGCGCAGCATCGGTTTAGTTACATGCGTTTTCAAAGTGAAATTAACTTTTTATCGCTGCAAATTTCCCTCGAATGCGCCAACAGTGAGGCAATCGGATCTCTTTTTCAAAAACTCCATTCGACCGTGAATTTTTCCGCGAAACACAAATAAACTTGGCTGGTTTTTTTTTTTTTTTTTATAAATACATTATACATAGCTACTGTACGCGAAACGTGTTAATAATAGAGATCTTGCTGCTTTCACCTCCGCGAAACAACCAAACGGGAGAATCAGGCGTACCTACTATGTATAATAGCCACGTTAACAAGATTTACCTATACTCGAGAAAAAAGTAGCACAAATTTCATTTTTTCAATAATCATAATGACAATAGTAGCAACTGCACCTATAGTTTTGGGGTCACTATACTCGTATATATTATACATATGTTGCACTGATGTGTATGCCTTTGTATGTGCATGACCTTGCCTGCACGTAAATATAATTGGAAAAGTTTGGAGCACCCACTCGTGTACGGGCCAAATTTTCCGGTTGGTCGAACAAGCGGACAAGTGAAATTGCCGACTAAACGTCGCGGTGTAACGCTACCACCCACAGAGAGAAAAAGTGAGGGAGAGAGAGAGAGATAAGTAGGTGGAGGCTACAGTAAAGGTAGTTTGGTTACAAACAATTATTTATTTGATCCACAAAGGGGGAACAACAGCCATGAACTGAGTACGGTTTGAGCAAACAATCGTGACGAAAGTTGAGAAAAAAAAAAAAAAAAAAAAANAGATATATTTCAAGGAATTATGTAGTCAACATGTTATCTTTTAGTAGCATAAAATTACAATAAATGCACCTGCGATACTTAAATATAAATATGAAAAAAAAAACCAATCGAAAACAACTTGGTAAAAGATGAAAATATACATTTAGACAAATCATGATACTAAAAAACAGTATCTGAATCAATTATTATTTTTTCACTCATTGCGTCATTGCATTATATTAATTTTCATGCAATAGTTTAAATTGGCCCTTTTTGTTTCGCAGCTTCAAGTATAGGTACTTACGCGTTACCTGAATTAAAGTACTCATTCCTGGTGTGACACATATTAGTGATATTCCATGAGAGTAGATATAGAATTTTGTACGTCGTTTATAAAAAACTCAATAACGTTGGGTATCAATATGATCAAAACTTATGCTAGAAGCTTTTATTATCGGCGTCAAAGAAATATAATTTTATTGTACAAAGTATAAAAAATTTAGTAGAAAAATCCAGTATTTGGTTTATAAAACTAAATAACATTGGACACTGAACCTATCCAAAATGTATTGAAAAGCTACTATTATGCCCTTCAATAAAATATATTTTTATTGAACTACTTTAAAATTTTTAGTTAAAAAAAAAAAGGAAAAAGTTGGTGCGGGGTCCTTTTTCTGAAAAATATAACAATCACAGCAACAACCGTAATAAAGTACACAACTTGAATATTACTTTAAAACTACGAAAAGCACAAAAAAGTTTTAGTCTTAAACTATCAAAATCTGCCAACGGGACAATGAGATATATCTCTTTTTTTTTTAACTTAGTACATCCTTAATAAAACCAAAATGATATAAGGTGTCACGGTGACTGAAAGTAAAAAATAAATCTTTGATTATGCCCTTTGAAATATTAAAATTTTGATGAATTAATTAAAAACTTTTCATTCAAAAACTTGACAAAAATGAATCACGAAAAATCGAAAAAACGCCATAGTAACTTTATTAATGTATACAACTAAAAATAATTTTCCAACGGTACTATACATTCTAAGATAAAAAAAACTTAGTCCTGTTGCATGAAAATTCGCTATTAGGATTCTAAGATATCACTGTTTATAAGTACACAGTTACACGCACATACACAGAGAAAGAGAGAGAGAAAGCCATTTTTTCCAGAGTACTGTAGACCTATTTTCAAACCCTGAAAACGCATTCAAAACACCTTATTTTGACATTATTTTTTCTTTCATCAGAAAGCTTTTTCTAGGAGAAAGCAAAATGAAAAATATATTTTGAGATTCTACAACTAAATGCAAAATGTAAAAAATTACTAATATCGGAAAATACCAACACGTACGAATGTTTTTCTTGCTCAGATAGATATTATTTGTTACAGTACTACAATGATTTTGTCGCAGGCTTTTGCGTACATAAATTTCTTAGTACTATTCAGTGAACCGTTTTCAACTTATTCATAAAAAAATGTTATTAAAAAGGATAAAAAGGACCATTTTTAATTAATACCTTATTATTAGTGTAGTGATGCGGGAAAACCATTAGGATTTTAAATTATTTTGTGTAACGTATTAATGTATTTTGTGTAAATAGTGTGTTAATTAAAACTGAGTAGCCACGTATGCAGCAAATATGAACAAATTAGACAAATTTCATATATGTTGAAAACATTTAATAATTAATCTTAATTTTTTTGCTTTTGAATAAATGTTTTTTTCGATGAAACCTTTTTACGTTTATATCACGTATACTTTAATCTTTCCGTTGTTTATTATTTAGTTAGCACTGTTCTTCCATGTTCAAATAAAATGTAATAATTATAATTAAAGTAATGGCTTGATTTGCTTGAAACTTCATTGTATTACTGACAAAAATACTTAATAAGTAATATTCCTATGCTGAAACGTTAATAAATCTTATAAATATTGACAAAAACAACTAAATAATGTAAAATTGTTTTTGCTATAGATTTTTTTTAATCAAATATAATCATGAATATCGCAACATTGGTAATGTGTTGTTATTATTAATTATTTTAGGTTGCACTTAACTTTCACAGTATAAAACAAACAGAACAAAATCTTGAGTTTAAATCATGAGCAGTATGGAAAATCGTGGACGTAATTTTTGGAATCTTGTGGAGGAAGATCTGTTTGTAAACGTTCCTTGGAACATTAAAATGATTTTTCAATTTAATAATTTATGCGATCCTTCTGTAACTTCGGCACTAACGGAATATGACTTGAGCTTACTGGAACATTTTGGAAGATCGACTATATACAGATCTCTAATATCTGAAGGAAGCGATTTAACCATTTACTATGGCATATATAAAAAATATCCGGAAAGCTTTTCATTCACTGTTGCAAATAAAATTATTATTCGTCAAATTGTAAGTTTTTGCAAAGATTTTATAGAAAAACAAAAGTCTGAAATAAAAAATTGTATGAGTAATGAACAAAAACTTGCTTGCTTAGAGGAAAAAACAAGTAATGATGATACTCGTCAGCTTGTTTATGATGTAAATAAATCTTCTAAGTGCAGATCAACTTTACTGCAAATGTTATTGAAATCTTTGAATTGTAATGCCTTGAAAAAAAAGAGGGGCATCGGTATGATGCAGACTTGAAGCTCGTCGCTTCTTATCTGTATTTAGTTGGAGGTCCCATTGTTTATGAAACCTTAAGTTCTAATCTACCTTTTCCGTCATTAAGTAGTGTACGAAGATTCATTTACGATAGATCGCCATTGGTTAAAGAAGGTGGATGTCGAGCAGAGCAACATAAGGAATTTTTGGATACTAGAGGTTTGCCATGTAATGTATGGCTTTCAGAAGATGCCACGAGAATCGTTAATAAGATTCAATATGACCCAAACACAAATCAGTTAGTAGGATTCGTATTACCTATGGATGTCAATTCTATGCCAGTTGCGAATTCATTCTTAGCTAACTCAGCTGAAATGATAGAAAATCATTTCAATACAAACAAACCGTCGAATATGCTTTATGTTTACGTGGCTCAGCCTCTCAAACGCAATGCACCAAGTTTCGTGCTTTGTTTATTTGGCACCCGGAACGAATTTCGGACAGAAGATGTTGTAAAAAGGTGGGTTTTTATAAAAGAAAGTTTAAGGAAAGTTGGTATAAATGTAAAGGGATTTTCGTCCGACGGAGACTCACGTCTTTAAAGAGCAATGAAGTTCAAGACTAACTTGGGAATAACAAATCATAACGATTTCAACATCAATTCGATAAGTGTTAAAATATCCGAGTTTCATCAGCTACTTTCTGCTCATGACTTGTATGCTCAAGACACAGTACATGTTCTTGCTCGAATGAGAAATTTACTTTTACTTCCGTCAAGAGTGTTGCCCATAGGGTCAAAACTCGTTTCGCATACTCATCTCAAGATTTTAATTAATCTTTGCAGTAAAGACAAACATTTAATCAATGAAAGCGATCTTTCGAGTAAGGACAAAATGAATTATTCATCTGTTGTAAAAATCTCGTCGCCGAAAGTAATAAAACGATTAAAAGAGTACGTTCCAGACTCTGAAGCAACTCAAATATATTTACAGCTTATTTTGTACATTATGCATGCTTATCTCTCAGAAACTTTGTCAGTTTGTGAACGTTTGTATTGTATGTGGTATGCAACGTTTTATTTGAGAATGTGGCGCAAGTGGTTGGAGTTGCATGATAATTATTCTGTAGCTGATAATTTTTTGTCTAGTAATACGTATACGTGTATTGAGATAAATGCTCATTGCATTATAAACGCAACACTTCAATGCATTGAAAACAAGTCGTTTGATGATTTTTTACCTTTCATGTATTTTAGCCAGCCGTGAGAATCAATATTTAGAGTATTGTGCTCGTTAAGTACGACATTTTCTACTATTGTAAATTGTTCAGTGTTGGAAGCTATGCACCACTTACGACGAATAGAAGTCTTAAACGACATATACGCTCATGATTTTTTATCTAACGGCGAAACAATTTACTTTCCACGAAAACAAATGGTGCACGCTTCATTCGAGTTATTAAAAGAACACATAGATTTATCCTTTCTAAAAGGTCTTTGTTCTCCTGATTCAGACGTGAATATTGATGTTGTCAATAATATTTTAATAAAAGCCAAATCTGATGCTCATGAAGCCATTGAACAATTTAATATCAATGTTTCAATAAATATAGCAAATGATGTTTCTATCAAACTGATACACGATCTAACGATTGACACGACGGACGAAGATTTATTTCAAAACGTCGATGACTACAACGACCTCACAAACGAGCCTACAAGCGAAGATCCACCCAATGTAGCGACTACAAATTCAGAAGGCACCGAGTTTGCTACTTCATTAAGTCACTTCCCATCAAATAAGTCTGTGGATCGGGATGATACACCTTTTACTACAATAAAAAAAGCTGATAATTCGGAAATCATCGTAAGAAAATGGTCTATCTGTTGGGCGTTAAACAATACCAACAGTAAAATGAGCAGTGATCGCTTACAGCGCGTTCAACAGAGGGAAATGGAAGTTCAAACTAACAAACAGTCATGTATAAATGACAAAGCGAATATTTGCGATTTAGTAAACGTTGGTGATTGGTGTCTTTTTAGAGTGCCGCATAAAAAACGATGCATTATTGGATTAGTTTTAGAATTCGCATATCTCAAAAAAAAACATGGAGGGAAACATCTTATTCCAGTGACTATGTCGATCTAAAAAAATATAAGAAAGATAAAAAAGAAATAGGCGTTCTATGTGCGTGGTATTCTTTTGATCGTGGATGTTTAACGTTAATAGATATGTCGACACATGGATACGTTGATGTATCTTCATACAAGTTAACGATAAACCAACCTTCCTACTCTAATGAGAAGCTCACCTTAAGTGATACCTTGTACAAACAAATTAAAAAGTATTTGTAAGAACGAAATTAAAAATTAAGTATACGAAGATCATAGCAAATTAAGATGGTAATGTGTTAATACATGCAAATATTAACATCAGTTAGCCGATATTTTTACCATTAATAATTAATTACTATACAAAACATGTCTAAGCAGCTGTATTTTACTGTTTTCCTATTTAATAATTGTTAATATACTTACAATGAGTGATGTAGAAAATATTAACAATATTAACGTCTGTTACACAAAAGTATTGTTTATTAATGCATTCTGTGATTTAATAGTCTAAAATAATAGGTCACAATCTCTGTACCATGATTCATGCATTACATGCCATTATTTTCAAATTCGTCAGTAGTGATTTGAATTGAGTATTTTCAATTATTATTATGTTTTTTTATTTGATAAATAATGTTTCAACTATATTACTTATACATTTGTTACAAACATTTCATTGTACAGAAAAACCATCCCCATTCAAATAAACAACATTCTTTTTCAATTTTTTTTTAAAGTTTATTTTTGAGTACATATTTTTGAATCTGTAT